AAATCCTGACACCGCTGGTACTTGACACACTGCCATACCAGGAATACGACGTGCCACGGAGATAAGAAACGAGATCTATTTTCACCCGTAGGAACAACATCCTTGGCTATCAGAGCCCGTAACCACATGAACGCGGAGACAGTGGCCTACTGTAGAACACTGCCCCTCGCATGGAAGACTTGCCCGTACGGCCTAAGTGCTCTCTCCCAAGCTATGGTCACTGAGCAGGAAGGCTCATTGGTGCATAACGGTCTGTCAACATCCACAGATTCAGGCCCCACATGTGTGCCTACCAAAAGCTACGCACTGGAAACGTCGCAAACCAAAGCTGAGGTTCGCCTCATCATCACGGTTCATCAGTGCAATCAGGATTGTTTGTTCCATCTTCCGTCCTGTCTGCACACTGCAGAAGAAGCTGACGCGTATGATTGCACGAGACCATCAGGGATGCATTTGACCGCCCATCAGACTATCTCACTACTGTAGCAGGCCTTCAGTAGTGGCATTCTGCAAAAACATGCGCCCCTGCTCGCGGCATCATACCAGAGCCTGTCAGTCATGCGACCATACAAAGGCAGTCAATTCTATCAATTCTGTCAAGGCAATCAATTCGTCTACCTAGAGACTAATTAACCTGCTTACCGTGCGTTGCCGCAGTATTCCCGAGACTGCTCATCAATGTCCGCATGAAAAAGTTTCAGGCAAAGATTCAAGACAACTTGTGTTGCCCATTGGAGGCACTTCGGGCAGGTATCCCAAACGAGTGTCAGCGTGGTCAGGACAGACCTCCCTGGTGCAGCCAACACCGTCTAACAAAGACATCGTAGGCAAGCCCTCACAAGTTTCCACATGAAATAAACCGAACCCAGCGACAAATCCGATTCCGGCCAGCAGACAACACACAGTCAGATACCCAGGCAGGGTTGCAACGTGGCCGGTTCTGAGCACTTCAATGCAGCCAGCATCGCCCTTGAGAAACACTGTAACTGCTGCAGATAGCCTCGCCCACGAGAACATTGTCGTGTGGCCCATCAGTCATGGTTGCAGTCATAGCCGAGTGTGATGATGAAGACCAACACTGGCACTCTGGCACCGGCCCGCATTCTATGCGAGCGAGGTAGAGGAGGAAAAAGATAAATAAAACGAATAGAACAGACGGCCCCCACAGCAAGGGTGCTGTTTCTGTGCGGTTATTCATTACAATACTTATATATATATATATATATTGCTACGGGACCCCATATATGCCACGGAATGTCACGTCATTCATCAGAAAACGACAGCATACCACCCGCAGACTAACGGGCTAACGGAACAATTTAACCGCACGCTAGGTGATATGCTCTCAATGTACGTGGCATCTGATCATAGCAACTGGGACCGTGTTCTCACATACGTCACATTCGCATATAACACTGCAGTACAAACAACCACGGGATTTTCACCTTTCTTTCTTCTTTACGAACGCAAGCCTTCCTATACAATCGATACTCTACTTCCCTACCGTCCTGATGCTCCCGAGTGTCCACCTACCTCCGATGCTGCTCGACAAGCCGAAGAGTGCCGCCAGCTCGCCCGTACGTTCACCTCGGACGAGCAACGCCAGAAAGAAAACCGTAGCACCTCCCTTCCAGATCCCAGCTATGCCCCAGGGTTTCTTCTGTGGCTTGCCATCGCATACCAAACTCCGGGACTCTCATCAAAACCTGTCCCTTGGTACGTGGGGCCTTACACCATTTTGGAGAAAACCTCTCTGGTTAATTTCCTAATTGAGCCAGTTGCCCGATTGGACGACATGCACTGGCGTGCACGCGACATTATTCGTGTTTCCCGCCTGAAACCGTACCATGAGCCTCTGCCTAAAACTTCTTAGGTCGCCAGGATGGCTCCTTTTCCAGCGGGGACGATTGTGAATAAGAAGATGTGCTTGCAGCAAGCAGCATCGCCAACGCCCGGCTTTCTCGGCTCGTGCTTCGGTTTGCTGCTGTGCCGGTCTCTGGACTGTTCTTGACGCTGCCTCACCGCTGTCCTTAACGACTAATAAACCTCTACACAATATATATATACACACACACACACACTGTTACCAAATATTTAATTTAGATTTAGGTATAAGCACCTGTGTAGCGGGGAACAGGGTGGTGCCAGAAGAAGAGGACGTTCGGTTGGTGGCAAGAGCTCGCTGGTGCGTGTTCACTGCTGTATACCATCGAGTCAACCATCTCTCTCTCTCTCTCTCTCTCTCTCTCTCTCTCTCTCTCTCTCTCTCTCTCTCACACACACACACACACACACACACACACACACACACACGCACACGCGCGCACACACACACACACACACACACACACATATATATATATATTGTTACGAGGAGAAGGCGTATATATATGCAGAAGAATAACTACGGTTGCCGCAAGGTTATAAATATGAAAGTAGATGCGCTTTCACATTACAACTGTTTATTGTGCCGACATATCGACGGGAACCCCGTCTTTTTCAAGGCATAATACTATTTACACATGTTCCGTGTCTTCTTATAGCCTGTCGAGACAGGAGAGAAGGGGTCAAAAGAAAAGGAAAAAAAAAGAAAGAAAAGAGAGAGAGAAAAAAAAGAAGAAGAAACAGCGAAACGGGAGGACAAACATAAAATAAAATATAGAAAATCTAGGAGAAGAAGCAAGGCCGACACGGCATAATTAGAAAGGGGCAGGAGTACTTAATTAAGGAGTACTTAAGATTAAGGAGTACCTGATTAAGGAGATGCACGAAGTACTCCTTCATCAAGAATACCCGCCAGCTATCATCGATGACGCCACAAAAAAGCTGAAAATCTGGACCGCCAGATTCTTCTCAACCACCAGAAAAACGCCGACCAACACCGCAACAAAAACTTGCTATTAACTTTCACGAGCAACCCACCGAACATAAACAAGGTCCTAAGAAAACACTTTAACATATTGGAACAGAGCGTGCGACTATCCAAAATTTTCACTTCTCCTCCTTGTGTTGTATACAGACGGCCAAAAAATATAAAGGATCATTTAATAAATTCAAAGATAGGTGTGAAACCTCAAATTGGGGGTCATCCTTGCGGAAAAAGCAGATGCAAGGTATGCAAACACATGCAGACAACGACAGTGGCGAAAAGCACCCACTCGGATTTTAAGCACAGGATAAGAGGTGCACTAGACTGTGACTCAGACAACGTCATATACCTCCTGGAATGTGGGGTATGTAACAAGCAATACGTGGGCCAGACAGACACTCCGTTTAGAATTAGATTCAACAACCATCAGGCACAGGTACGGTCTCTGCCAGGCCTTCCACTTTCAAAACACTGCACATTAAAAGACCACAGCTTTGATGACATCAGGGTTACACTACTAGAAAACAACTTTCGAACAATCAGAGAATGGGAACAACGGGAATCTTATTTTATCTACAAATTTAACACGATAAAATACGGAATAAATGAACACCCAGGCACTCTCTCAGCGTTACGACCACTAAAAGACGCAAACGCTTCTCTCTAATCAGTCGGTTTCATTACGACAACAATATTACCCGCTAACAAAGCTTTTGGCCTATGCATCTGACAACATAGAAATGATTTGCCTCATCAAGCACAGCCGGAACGCACAGATAAGTGGTCCCCGATGTCGTACGGTCCCCCCCCCCCAACTTCTTCTTTTCTTTTTTTTTCTTCTTTAAGTTTTAACGCACATTCTGTTCCTTCACTGACAAGGAGCTGACAGCTAGGTGGTTTCGTTAACTTTTTCATACATGCGCGCATGTCTTCCCAGTGAGCCGCAACTGTGTGGTGACTGTCCTGGATGTCGTACAGTCTCTCCCCCCCCCCCCCCTGTTCTTTTTTTTTTCCTTCTTTAATTTTTAACGCACATTCTGTTCCTTCACTGACAAGGAGCCATTGCATATAATGAATATCGATGGCGGTGCCTCAATCACCGGCTTTTTCATTCCTCCCGGGGCCACCAGCACGCACTCGAAACACTTAAGCCCTCCCCATTAACTTGTCCTAAACTTCAAAGAGGAACGAGCCGCCAGCGGACTACGCGGAAAGGTGAAATACAAGAACGGCGGCTCGCTTCCCACTTGGGGAAGAGTGGGTGCAGGGGAGGTATTGTTGACAACGATGACATTTCTCATCTACCTCTGCCCTACTTTGTTGAGATGCTGCCCCTTTATAATTACGCCGTGTCGGTCTTGCTTCTTCTCCTAGATTTTCTATATCTTATTTTATGTTTGTCCTCCCGTTTCGCTGTTTCTTCTTTTTTTTTCTCTCTCTCTTTTCTTTCTTTTTTTTTTCCTTTTCTTTTGACCCCTTCCCTCCTGTCTCGACAGGCTATAAGAAGACACGGAACATGTGTAAATAGTATTATGACTTGAAAAAGACGCGGTTCCCGTCGAAACGTCGGCACAACAGTTGTTATGTAAAAGTGCATCTATTTTCATATATATATATATATATATATATATATATATATATATATATATATATATATATATATATATAGTATTGTGGTTACGCCCTTATATGATGGTAGAGGAATTTGTATGGAGGATTCACGGGTTACCTGATGATTTCCAAGCAAGCTCCTTGAACATCTCCAAATGAATATAGCGTGATTTCTTTTTATTTTGCCATGGCATAGGGTAAGAAATCACCATTTTAAGGGGGGTGCACCTCCCTTCCCCCACCCACGAAAAAAATCTGGCTGCGCCCCTGCACTATTGGAGAATATTAGATGAAGTGGCTACGCAGCACCTACCACACGTACGGGACTTTAGGTGGCGAAAAAAAGAAATTCAGTTAAATAAAAAGTTCAGCGAGGAGGTGGTCGTTAACGAAAACTGAGCGGTGGGGGCACGGTATGCACTGAAAACAAGGAGAGGAGGACAGAGGCTCTCCTTTTCTTGTGTGCGAGGTACAATGCCCCCCCTCGGCTAGTTATCACAAAAAAAAAAAAAAAACTCACTTTTTGGCACCTGGTCATGGTAAGACGCGCGGTGCCCGTCTGTGCTGTGCCTGTAGGTTTGTGGGTTAGACTTGACAAGGTGCATCACGAGGCTGTACTCGTCTTTCGTCTTGACATTCATTTTGAACTTCTCACTGTAATATAGTAGGGCCAGGTTCGTTAGCGCAAACAGAAATTAGCCATGCTAAGGTCAAATATTTTGCCACTACGTGAGCCTGCCACTCGCCTCGTGTCATCTTGCGGTGGAGGGTTCGCTTGGTCAGACAGGAACATGTCGTGCGTGCGTTTGAGAGATCGGAAGACCAGAGTGTGGACCGAGTGCTTTTGAACGTCCTATACGGGCAAAGCAAGCGAGAAATATAAGCGCACTTCAACAGAAACGAAACACTGACCGCAAACAAAAGAAGTGGCAATATACAGTAACATTACTCCGGCGCCTCTCACCTCCATGTTCAAACCAATTACCACCACGGTATCTGGTCACCGCGAATGTTTGAAGATTAAACCACAGATCAAATCATCAACAGAGTTCCCACCATTGCGTTGCGGCTACGACGTTGGATCGTACTGGATTGAGTAACAACATTGTTGCCATGCGCAACATTAGCCAGTCAACTTCCGCTTTTGTATGGTGTGGTCACCAGTATATTAACTTAATGGTACGTGGTCACCACAAAGTAGCCACCATCATAGAGTTTTCTAAACTCTACGGCCACCGTAGTACAGTGCCTAGAATATACTTACTAGGGTGCCGACCAGCATTTTCGATGGGAAACGCTGGCACTCCCGATGATGTCTTCCTCCAGTAGCCACCAGACGGCAAAACCCTTAGGGACAGTGCTATCCGAGCGGCGGGGCGCACCTTGCGAGAGCGCGATAATCGATGGTGAAGTCCCTGATGGATGGAAACTCATCAGTATGAGCATGATCTATAAAGGAAAGGGGGACGAAGATGACATAAACAACTACCGTCCTATAACATCAGTGGTCTACAGGCTGGCGATGCAGATTATACAGCAAAGACTGCAGGCATGGATAGAGGATGAGGGGGTGCTGGGGGAACTGCAGAATGGGTTTCGGAAACACAGGAGGTTGGAAGACAATCTGTTCTCACTGACGCAGTGCATCAAAATAGCCAAAAAGGAACTCAGGCCTCTGTGAATAGCGTATTTGCATATCAAGGGAGCGTATGATAGTGTGGTTCAAGAGGACTTCTGAGGAATACTAGACACACTGGGTGAGGAAGATGGAGTCACTAATCTTTTTAAGGAAATCTGTAAATGTAACAAGGTAATTATAAAGTGGGAAAAACAGGTATCCAAGCCCACAGAGGTGAAATGGGGACTTAGGCAGGGGTGTCCACTGTCACCCTTGTTATTCATGATGTACCTACAAGGATTAGAGGCCAAATTAGAGGGAAGTGGACTTGACTTCAACCTGTATTTAGTCAAACAAGGAAAACTCATTGATCAGGCACTACCAGCATTAATATACGCAGATTATATAGTGGTAATGGCCGACAACAAGGAAGATTTGCATAGATTGATGGACATCTGCAGTAATGAGGGAGATAGGTTAGATATCAGATTCAGTAAGAAAAAATCAGCAGTCATGATTTTTAATTATAACGAAGGTAGTTAGCTTAGAATACAGGAAGTCACGCTAGAGATAACAGATAAATACAAATATCCGGGCGTATGGATAAGCAATGATACCGAGTACCTGAGGGAACACGAAATATACGTGACGACTAAAGGTAACAGGAATGCAGTAGTGATGAAAAATAGGGCACTGTGGAATTAGAATAGGTATGATGTTGTCAGAGGAATATGGAAAGGGGTCATGGTTCCTGGGCTGACGTTCGGCATTGTGCATGATCTTGTGCATGAGATCAGAAGTTCAAGCAAGATTAGAAATGAAGCAACGTGGAATAGGTAGGCTTGCTTTAGGAGCTCACGGGAATACACCAAATCAGGGAGTACAAGGTGATATGGGATGAACATCGTTTGAGAGCAGGGAAGCTAGCAGCAAGATAAAATTTGAGAAGCGATTGAGAGAAATGGGGGAGGAGCGTTGGGCTAGGAAGGCTTTCGGCTACTTGTACATGAAAAATGTCGATACAAAATGGAGGAAGCGAACCAGGAAATTGACTGGTAAATACTTAGAAAACAGCAGGTGGCCAAACCAAAAAGAACTATATCGGTTAAAAAGAAAGTGAAGGAAACGAAGACTGACATGTGGAGAATTGGCATGATTAAGAAGTCCGCACTAGAGATCTATCAAACTTTTAAGCAGGAAATTGCCAAAGAAAGGATCTCTAATAATACTCGGGGTAGTTCTCTACTGTTTGAGGCCTAGACGGGAGTATTGCGAACCAAGACATATCGGGCCAAATACGAAGGGGTAGACACGGTATGCAGTGCATGTGGAAAGGAGGAGGAAACTGCCGAACACTTCATAATCTTCAGCAAAGGGCTTTACCCAATAGTTCAGGATGATGGCGCAGAGTTTTTCAAAGTACTGAAGTTTAGCGACAAGGGGGGGGGGGGGGGCAAAATAGACTTTAAGCGGGTAGAATTAACTAGAAGGAGGTTATCTGATTGGTGGCTAAAGTCAAGGCACGAGTGAAAATTAAACCCTTCACTGCAAAGTACGATCTTCAACCTCATTAGTTAAAGAAAAAAAAGATAAACTTAATCATTAGTTCACTAAGTATTACGGCTAGGTGGCGTTAGCCGCCGCCCGATCTAAAGAGTACAGCCACATTCATCGATCCGCGCAAGTCGCGACGCACGCGCGTTGCATGCACGTCGCTTGCGCTTTGGATGCACTTCGGATGCGCTTCGTTACCCAGTCGGTTGCGGTGTAGTTGAGGGTCATTTCTGTTGTTGCGCACATAGCGCGGGCCTCCGCCTGTTTTTGACGTGTTTCTGTTCTGTGCGCGTTGTTCACGCTTGTGTCTCTTCACGAAACTGGCATTTCGTCACAGAAAAGAAGGCGTAATTAAGGAGAGCGCCTGATTTTTTTTTCATATTGTGTGAGTGGATACTGCTCTAACAACGAGCGGATCTTATTATTCAGCGCCCCTGCAGACCCAGAACACTGAGCCTAGTGGGAGAAAAACAAAAGGCGAAAGGATCGAAGACTAACTGTGGTGGCTGTCGTTAGTGAGAAACATTTTAGTGAATGCTACGTTTAGCGCTCCCCGCATTCTTTCAAAATTACAGCCTATGGTGTCATCAGTGGGATTCCCGTAAAAAAGTCAAACCTAAAATGTTTACCCTTCATTTATTTCCATCTCTCTCGATTTCTTTTCGTGGCCAAGTAGATTTCTCGTTTAAAACGGGGTCGCCGACACCGGCAAATCTAAGAAATTAGCTTCTTAATACTGTTGCGTTAATACTCTTTTTTTTTTTTCTGGCACCAGTTGACATTGTCCGCATTTGTACCGGTTGTTTCAGCCTTATGTCTCCAAAATCCTCAAAAATGAAGAGAATTCGATATGTGCTGTAGCACTCGGAAAATAAACTATTTGCATTTAATCAAATAAGCTAGTATCAACGTCATTAGAGTATTGAATCTCATGCAAAAAACTCAGCCTTCAGCAATAGAAAAATTGGCTTATAGTAAACGTTGTGGCATCGTGCAATCAACCAAATGCCGCGGGTTTCACAGTTGAATTTTATTGAACTTCATTAGAGTTTTCCTCTTTCCTTGGAAACCACGCCTATTCATTTATTTATTGGTATTTTTTTATCAAACACTCGATATTGTGTACCGTAATAATGATAACGGGGCGTATACGTACGTTTGTAAGTGCAACCAAAATAATATTGCTTTGATTACGCATCACCTCCCAACCAGCGTTCTACAGTTCTAAGTGGGCTGAGAGAGCCCACTTCACCTGTCACATGCACCTGTCACACGCACGCGTTGGCTGGAGTGTTGGTAGAGACACGGCCGCAGGAGCGGCCACGGTAGAGACGCTGGCGACACCATTCCGCTCGGGCTCGGGCCGCTCGGCCATTGGCTCGGCATAGCATGGTCCCTGCGGCTATCGCCGTCTAGTGGCCGCTGGTGGAAGGCATCAGTTCTCCGTGCCACCGCGAAGGCCACGGTCAGTACACCAGTAAGTATATTCTAGGCACTATAACCATAGCTTCTGCATTCAGGCACACACGTTGAGGTTTAGGCACAGCCTCCTGTGGTCCAGGCTACAGGAGAAAAATCACAGCATATCCACGAAGTGAATGATGATGAGTGGGGCGAAGCGCTGGAGGGTTTCATCGCTAAACCTTGAACCATTCACGAATATTGGCCACTACATCATCAAACACGTGACAAAAACACTGTATATCTAAATTCGAAGCATTTCTTAGCGAACTTCAGCGACTTTAAGCGTATCTATCTATCTATCTATCTATCTATCTATCTATCTATCTATCTATCTATCTATCTATCTATCTATCTATCTATCTATCTATCTATCTATCTATCTATCTATCTATCTATCTATCTATCTATCTATCTATCTATCTATCTATCTATCTATCTATCTATCTATCTATCTATCTATCTGTCTGTCTGTCTGTCTGTCTGTCTGTCTGTCTGTCTGGCTGTCTGTCTATCTATCTATCTATCTATCTATCTATCTATCTATCTATCTATCTAGCTATCTATCTATCTATCTATCTATCTATCTATCATCCACCTAGTCTAATCTCGATCATATATACCAAATTTGGTATTACGTGAATGGATGACGAAGGTATGTGACTGGTGCAAACATGATAATCATGGGATATGTCTCATGTAACAACATGACTACATGCTAACGCTCATGATACGCTGGTGGCCGTTTCGCTAGCTTCACTTATACCAAATTTGGTATTATGGGACGTGAATCGATGACGAAGGTATCATACTGGTGCAAACATGATAAACATGAGATGCGTGTCATGTAACAACATGACTACATGCTACGCTTATGATGTGCTCGCGGCCGTTTCACATGTACCAAACTCGGTATTACGCGAACGAACGACAAAGGTGAATGACACATCCAAACATGATAATCACGACATGCGTGTCATGTATCAACATGACTACATGACCGCAAGAGCAGCAGGACCATGAAATGTAAATCATGACATACATGTGGGTGCACGTTAAAGAACCCCAGGTGGTCGAAATTTCCGGAGCCCTCCACTACGGCATCTCCCATAATCATATGGTGGTTTTGGGATGTTAAACCCCACAAATCAATCAATCAATGACATACATGTCATGATTTTCATGTTATGACTAGTCAAGTATGTTCTTCATATAGCCATGTTATGCCATACCAAGTTTGGTATTGATACTATTATCGAAACGGTCAGGAGAGCTAAAAGTCGTAGGCGGATAGATAGATAGATAGATAGATAGATAGATAGATAGATAGATAGATAGATAGATAGATAGATAGATAGATAGATAGATAGATAGATAGATAGATACGCTCAAAATCGCCGAAGTTCGCTAAGAAATGCTTCGCATGTAAAAGCGCGTCTCCTGTGCGCTAGGATCTC